CCCCAAAACCCCAAAACCCCAAAACCCCAAAACCCCAAAACCCCAAAACCCCTTATTTCCTTAAAAATATTGCAAGGTTTATATAAATACTGCAAGGTCTCAAAATGCAGAATTTCTACCGGAATGATACACTTTCTACGAGGAAACCCCTTATGGCTCATAAGGAGAGCAAGAATAATAAGGAACAGAAGGAAAAGAAATTGTTTGTGAAGAGAAATCAGAATTATTCCAGTAAGCGAACCTAATATGATGGTGGTTAATGGAGAGGCTTAAAAAGAGCCTTAGAGAAAAGCCAGGTGAATTAACAAACTCACTTGCTTCTCTTGAGTGTAAAACATAAGTACAGAGGCTCTAGAGAGCCTCTGTACTCAACTGAGCCAAGTTAAAAGCATCTCTATAGAGCCCTAGTTTACTTAAGCTCTAAATTCGGTGAATATAATTTGATACAATCTTCTTCCTGAATGCTTCCTTTTGTAATAATTTCTTTTCGTAAAAGTTAGCCTCTATGTACTAACTGGGTCATTATTTTCTTAAGCAGGCCAGGCCAGTTATAATCTGGATATTCTCTAGGATCCCATTAAGACTTCAATAGCCTGATTGGACATCACCATTAAATGGGCTATGTCCAGACTCACTTTGGATATACATGTTTGAAAATTAGGTAGTAACTTGAGCAAATAAAAAGGATTTCTGTACAAAAATATTGCACGAATTCCATTATATGGCTAGAATAAGCAATCAGAATGGACCCTCCTTCAGGAGAGGAGCTCTAACCTCTGAAGCGTTGAATGCTAAGGCTAGATATGATTCAGACTGGTGGAAATCGAGAATTAAGGTTATACCAACCATTCTTAAATCCATTCTGAGGTATTAACTAGTCAGATATTTATAAAATCCTAGATTTCCTGGCTCTCCAAAAACATTTTTGCCTATTTTTGTACGTGAGTCTTTCTCAAATGCTTGCTATATTAATGAAGATAAGAAAGATCATAGAGGTTCGACCCCTACTTTTGACTTAATGCCAATACAACTTCCTCTGTTTTAGGTTAGCTCGTTACATGCATGATGTATCGAAGATTACTTTATAGCATCAAATAGGCTTTTAAGCAGAAGGTATACTAAAATACCCCTCCTGATTGAAAGTTTTGCTATCTTGTGTCTTCTTAGGGAGGATTTTGGGAGTCTTGAAAGATCTGAGTTTTGCACATAAAAATTGAGTCTAGAGACAGTATTGGTAAAAAGTATCCAAAAAATGCTGATAATTGGACTAGAATCAGATAACCTTCCTTATGTTAGATAGTTCTCTTATAATGCTTTCCTACGTGTTAAAATCGTCCAAAAACTTTATATATGATTTCTGTTAGTTCACAAATTAGTAATCACTAATCATTTGTGTGCCCAAGGAAGATGGCCTTATGTTATCTTCTATACTCTTCAGGACTCATTTTTATCATGAATTTTCAAAATTGTCAGCATTTGAGTTGAGACACCTCTAAATTTTATTTCGAAACATTCTAGGTGTCATTGAACCTCCTAATCTCCCTCTAGAGATGAAGCGAATGATGTCTCCACAAGCTCCTAACATGGCAAAGCTGGGAGTCGACCTAAAATTTCTGAAGAATCCCAGGCGATCTCGGTTGAGGAACTTCAACGTGTCACCTCACTCTAAAGGTAAATATTTTAAGCGGGAAAGTCCTTAATTCTGGCTATGAAAAAAGGTTCATTACAGAGACTCCTGATTACTGGATTGAAATGACCGAGAAATGCTGATTTTCAGCCAGTGGTTTGTTGTCTTTGTAAAGATTTATGAGTGGATTTTTAAAGATTCTTTGTAGGAAATCCAACCCCAAATAACCCATACCAGAACGTAAGTACCCTCTTGCTCCCTGTCGATGGCAGAGCTGAGAGTGGCATCTGATATACTGTAGACAATACAGCTGAAGAGCCAGAAATAAGAAGGAAAATGTAAGCTTAGTCTCTTTTAAAAAATTTATTAACCTGATTGCATATAGAATCTCAAGAAAACAAAAACCCAAAATGGTATATTATCTTAGCAACTTTCGACTACTTTTAGGTCCTTTGTGGACTGGCAAATCTGGATTTGAAAATTTACTGAAAGATTAAGGATAATCACTGGATTTTATCCTATAATTGACAAAACTTATGATGACTTATAGGCTCGAAAAAGAATGAATTTGGAAGAATGCTGTCACATATTCAGCCAACATCGCCATTTAATCCAAATGGTAAGAAACTTGTTTAACCACACATAAAATCCTGGCTCTCACCTCAGATATAGATCTAGCTTCGACTAGGAATACGACTCCTTTGAGTAATTTAGGTGAAAGCAACCCTACTTTTATTCCAAAGAAGAAGAGGAAGCCTGCTATGATCAAGAACCAGAAGACTTTGGGTGGGAATGCCCACCCAAAGGAGAACAAGAATGTATGATTTCCCCCTAATCTTCCAGAACATGAACCTATCTGGTAAAAAGAGGAGGCTCACTAGGCCTACTCTGACTGGAGTTATAATCTCCAAATTCATGAATCAGTATAAGAAGGAAAAAAGTCCTAAGAAGATCGAGATGCCAAAGATCTTTGAGAAGAAGAAAACCACAAGGAAGGAAAGGGTTGTCTCTTTTGAAGCCAAGCCTAGAGGCTTGGCTTCAAGAGTCAAGGCTGCTTCCAAGACTCCTCTGTTTAGTTCTATTAAGAGGCAATTAGGCAATATGACATTTATTGGGAGGAATATCAGTATATCCTGCCTTCATAACCTATTTAGCACCGATCATTAAGAACTATAAGGCTAAGAATAAGAACAAGTTCGTTAAGAGCAAGCCCAAGAAGAAGGTCAAGCTCGAAATGGCGAAGAACATTGAGGAAAATTCACGAGTTAATATGAGGTAAACCGCTTTTGAGGAATCATGGAGCATCCTTATAACATTTCTAGGTACTTTTCAAGGAATAATCCTGAGAATATGTCTGTGATGAGCTCAAGAGCTATCCGAAGACTCCATGATACGGTAGGAAGTGGAGACCAGAGGGACTCAAGTCTTGCATTTTCATTGAGATTGTAAAGGACTAGGAAACCATATCGATTAATATTCTTCAAACTTTGGTGATCTTTGTGGGGTTTTGGGGTTTTGGGGTTTTGGGGTTTTGGGG